TTGCTTCAGCTTTGGAGTCTTCTTCAGAGGCTTTTGGTGTGCCTATCTTTGGTCGGCGTCCTGGCATTTGGCGGGAGCTAACCTTTCTTGAATTCTTTCCCATTCTAGTCACCCTTCATATATGTAGTGACCAGTTTGAGAACACCAGGGTATGATTTGGTCTGACAACCAGGCAGTAGTAAGAATCAAAGGCAAGTATCGCGTTATCCGGGTGCTTTGCTTGTTCATGCTTGAATGCCTTAAGGGTAACATTTTCTTCATGGCTCAGTTTGTCCCAGGCCTAAATGACAAAATAATGGGTGCCTTATCTCGTTTCCAGATGGAGCACTTTTGAGAACTTGCACGAGAGGCAGCTCAGCTTCCAGACGCCTTCTCAGATGAGCTTTTGGAGACTGGACAAGAGAAGTGACACAGGGAGTATTACATACCCTAGCACCTTCCAATAGGAGATCTTATTCTAGGGCATAGGCAGCATTTGAGGGGTTCTGATCCCGTTATGCCTTTGCTCCCAGACAGGCAGCTTCTGAAGCGGATGTATTGAAATACATGGTTTCCCTTAGGCAGAGAGGCCTGGCCATCAGAACCATGTCACTCCATAGGGTAGCCATATCTTATTTTTGTCACTTCCTCCAGCAACCAGGCCCTTGTAATACATTTCATGTTAAGAAGCTGATCGCTGGCTGGAGGCACTTACGCACACATACTGACAAAAGGACGCTCTAATCTAAAATAAAATAAAAATACAGAAAAGTGTAACTGAACATGCCATCACTTTCTTTCTGGGAGATATTGAGGGTTCCTTTTTAAAAATGCAATTCAGAGTCTGGGGCCCTTGTCTGGGGTTCACTCAGCATAGAACTCTGCACTCAGATTCCCCTGTCTCAGTCCTTCAGGGACCAGAGCCAACTTGTTTTGTCCATGTGAAAAAATAAAAATAAATAAAAAGTTTGTGAGCAAAAGTGCCACTCAAAGTCCTGGATCTAATGAAGTAATTATCTCCCTCTGCAATTATCCAGATCACAATAATTTGTTCAGCTAGACAGAGTTCTCAGGAGTTTTCTAAGGACATCAGAAAACAGTCAACAACCCAGCATAGTAAGAGCATTAAATATTCTCCTGTGCTAGTGAGATGTAGGAGTGTTGGGCATAGAGAGGGGGAGTCATTATTGTCAACATTTTATTATTATTATATATAATAATGGAGTTTTAATCATTTTAGTTCGTATTCAAAGCATTTGTACACCTGCTGATGCTAAAAAGAAGGCTAAGTGCAACCTCCAAGGCAGCTCAATCGTGACAGGGGAGGTGTTTGGACAACTCTGCATATCTTCCAAGATAGAGTTTGAAGCTACCATGGTGTGGCTCTTGATGCTGCTGCTGCTGCCTCACACAATGTGTGAAGTCAGGACAATGAAGTGCCCTGCAGCTGATCCAATCCTTGTGCCCCATGAATGGGGTCAAGTAGGGGACCTCTTCATTGGTGGGATTGTAAGTCAGACCACCTACCTTTTTGAAGAAGTTTTATTCAAGGAACATCCTTCTCAGGAGCTGTTTGGCATTCCACAGTAAGCAAGAATATCCCTCTTCCTCCCCTGTTTATTCTATGCTCCACTGAATCAGCGAAGAACAACATGTGTTGTCTAAAAAGAAATTCTATTTAGAAATATTTATTTATTGAATTTATATATTAGTAAGCGACAGTCAACCCTCAAATCTCGTTAATCAAATAGAAGACAATTATAAATGTAGAGTGCCACAACCCCTTAGTCGCTTTTGACTGGACTTAACTGCCCAGGGGTCCTTTACCTTGTTACCTTTACCATTGTATATGTATATGTATATGTATATGTATATGTATATGTATATGTATATGCAGTGCTGTTTTCTAAAAAAAAATTGAAAATGTTTGGGGTATTCCCTTTTTGACTCAAGAAAATCACCATTTTATAGTTCAAATAGGGAAAGATAAATACAGTAAATGAAAATGTACAAAGATTCACAAAATGTTCAGGGGTATGCATCCTCCTGTGTCCCCCCAGAAAAAAGCACTGTCTATATGCATATGTATATATGCAAACTGATTTGAAACGTGACTGAACAGACAGCTAATTAAAACCAGCATATTGACAGAAGCATAGAGGACTCCTGCAACACCTTCAAGACTGAACAATAGACGATTCCACAAGCTTTTCTGGACTCCCCATCATGTTTAGCAAATGAGTCTTCATCAATAGTATAGTTGCAGGTTTATAGGAATACATATAGATATGTAAATGCAGAGGGAATGGTGCAGGAGTGCCATCAGAGGGAAAGGAAATGCCAAAAAGTGCAGACAATGAAAATGACATAATTAATGTAAAGATAACAAATTACTCATAAGTCTATGAAATAAGTTCATTCTGCTAGGATGCTTAGAGTTGAAAGTGCAGAGGAGAAAAAGGCAGAAGCCAGTCTCATGCATTAAAATATTCCCACCTCTCTTTTTATATCTTCCCTATTGACAGAATAAAAACCAAGTTCTATCAGAACATCCTGGCCTTGGTGTTTGCGATAAAAGAGATCAATGACAATCCGAAGATCTTGCCCAATGTCACCCTTGGTTTCCACATCTATGACAGCTATTTTAATGAGAGAATGACCTATCGAACCACATTGGACCTTCTCTTCAAATGGCAAAGATTTGTCCCCAACTACAAATGTGACACTCAGAAAAACCTCATGGCTGTGATTGGGGGACTTACTTCTGAAATTTCTATCCAAATGGCAAGTGTCTTAAGTCTCTACAGGATTCCACAGGTAGAATCAGTGCATAGGAGAATGTGGAGAAGTTTCTTTTGACACATTTTATTTAGAAAGAATAGAGAAATATTAGTATGATAGAGAAATACCCTGAAAATTTCATTACTTCCCTATAACTAGAAATCAAGCCAGTATATTTTTAAAACTAATTTAAACTGTGCCTACAAATTACAAAATAAGGAAATATTCTGCTAAATTATCATTTTCTTTTAGGTCACCTATGGCGCATTTGCTTCAGAGGAGAGTCAATCAATGCAGAAGTCTTTTTATACCATGGTCCCAAATGAAGACCTTCAATATGCAGGGATTATCCGGTTACTTCAGTACTTCAGATGGAAGTGGGTGGGGCTCTTTGTTGCCAAATATGACAGCGGAGAACATTTTTTGAAGATCCTGGAGCCATTGTTTTCTCAGAATGGAATCTGTTCAGCCTTCACAAAAAGAATCCCACTTCAAGCTCATATAGAAGATCTGGAAAAAATATCTGGTGAAATAGAAGGTATTTATGAAGGTCTCAGAGATGAAAAGGCCAGTACAGTTATCCTTTATGGAGATGATGGGGCATGCATGGCTGAGAACAGCTGTCTCATTCAAACATAATAGAAACCTGCAAAACACATCATTTGCAAAGGTCTGGATCATGACAGCCAAGATAGATTTTGTATCTTTCGGATTTCAGAGAAACCTGGATTTTCGGCTATTCCAAGGTGCCCTTTCCTTTACAATTCACTCAGAAGAACTTCTAGAGTTCAACCACTTCCTTCAGAACATCCAAACACACAGGACCAAAGCAGATGGCTTTTGGAAGGACTTCTGGGAACAGGCATTTGACTGTTTGTATCCTGATCCAGGTATGCCTGTCAAGGATGATGGAACATGTACTGGAGAGGAGAGGCTGGAAAGTCTCCCTGCAGGTGTTTTCAAATGCACATGACTGGGCAGAGCTACAGTATCTATAATGCTGCCTATGCTATAGCTCACACATTGCATGCCATTTCCTCATCCAGATCCGCACACAGAGCAGTGACCGTTGGTTACAGTGTTGGATTTCCATCTCTGCAGCCTTGGCAGGTAATGTTGCAGAACCAAATGTTCTCACGTCAATGGATCAATTAGCAGAAAGAACACCGGAAGTTCCTTATACAGAGTTTCAGTCATCTGTTTCAGTATTGTGTACAGTAGGGATTTGCAAACTTGGGTCTCCAGGTGTTTTTAGACTTCCATTCCCAGCATCCCTGACCACTGGTCCTGCTAGCTAGAGATGATTGGTCTTTTTGTCCAAAAGCAGCTGGAGAACCAAGTTTGGAAAGCCCTGGGTGCTCCGATGGGCTTTGGCTTTCCAGGGTTTGAGACAAGACCAGATTCCCAGTGTTACCTGAAGATTCTGGCCATTGAATCTGGGATCTATCAATGTCAATTCATGTCAATGGAAAGATCAGCAGAAGGACAGGAAGTTGCTTTATACTAAGTTAGGCCTCACATCCATCTGTTTCAGTGTTCTGTACTCTGTCTGGTTTGGCCTCTACAGGGTTTGAGACAATATGAGATACCTAGTATCACCGGAAGATTTTGGGGATTGAATCTGGACCCTTTCCATGAAAGGAGATGCTGAACCAGGGAACTGCTACCCTTTACGGTCCTTCCTCTCATATATATATATATAAATACAGCTGACAAATTATTCAGCATCTTAGTCACTGATACTCTTTTGTTGGTTTACATTTCATCTTGTAACTTGACCGTGGAATCTGTTTCAATTGGGAACCTCAAATAGCTTTATTCTTCTTTTTCTTTTTAAATAGATCAACTCATTTCTTCAAGGTGTTTCATTTAACAACTCAGCTGGAGAAACGGTATCATTTAATGATAACAGGGAAATGAGAGGAGGGATTTGATATCATGAATCTGGTCACATTCCCAAACACGTCTTTCCAGAGAGTGAAAGTTGGATGGGTGGGTCTCAGTGATAGAGGAGATAAAGAGTTAATCATCAATGAGGACAAAATTCGATGGCACCAAATTTTAACCAGGTACGGATCGTAGTTACCAACCTGCAGAGTTTCCCTTCTTAGGTTCTGATTAAATTTCATATATTGATGAAGCGTAAGATTGTCCTCTGGGTGGCAAATAGGAAAGCACTTCCACCCCAACTCGTCTCATCTTTTTGTACAGGTGCTTCCCTCTTCTTTGTGCAATGAACCCTGCCACTCTGGTCATCAGAAGAAAAGGAAGGAAGGGGGAAAGTTTTGTTGCTATGATTGTACTCCATGCCCAGCGGGGAAGATTTCAAACCAGACTGGTAGGTAATGCCCTTGCATCCTGATAACCACATAAGGAGACTGACCCACAGGCTGGGCTTGAGCTGGGCAACTTTTATTTAGTGAACATAACAAGATCAGCAGAGGAGAATAAATTCGAATGGCAGAACTATCTTGACCCAGAACTGTAGCCATCGGGTGACGCACATGGCCTTTTTCAGGAAGAACCAGCACTTTTTTGTGGAGGGACACGGTGGGACGCGTACCCCAAACATTTTGTGTTGCCATGACCGACGGATGGATGGACCGGTGCCTGGGGAGGGAAGCTTGGAGTGGCTGTGGTGGAGGCGATGGAAGTGCTTCTGCTTCTCCTCCTTTTGCTGGTCTCAGGCAGATCCCACCGCCACCGCCATTCCCATCCTTTGAGCACCGCTGTTTCCTCGTTTCCCTTGTCCTGAGTTTGAGAGGGTGTTGTGGGTAGGGAGGGGGGAGGGGGAGGGGAGCAGCCAAAATAAGAGTAACCCTAAACATTCTTTTGAAATAAATCACTGTCCAGAACTCAACAGAACTCAGTTCTGGTACCTCTCAGGTGTGCACCATTGCCATTCTAAGAGGATGAAGGAGGTGTTCAAGGTGAATTGAAGATGATTGAACCCTTGTCTCTCTGGTCAGTTTTGGAGCAGAGCCTGCTCTCCTTCAAAAATTATATCCTGAAACAAAAAAGCTCTGTGAGACATTATATTTTGGGGAAGATCAAGGCCAAGTAAGGAATAAGGGGAAGTAGGGGTGTGGCCACCCAGTGACAACGTAGGCATACCCTGAATTAACAGGAGCTATGTAAGGGAAAGCCTCAGGCCAGCAAAGGAAAGAATTTGCTACCCTACAATCTCTGGTCGCCTCTTGATTTTGAAACCCTGCCTGACCCTGCTTTGCTTTGCAATTGTGCTAGCAGATTAATTGCTGCTTTACCAGAGGAAGTAAGAGTCCTCAGGTATCCAGCAACGACTGTGGGAGAGAGAAAAACAAGAACCCCGGCAAAGGAGGGACATCCCTGATAGTCTAGAGTGCTCCTGTTGAAAGGATAGCAGCTGGCAGGCTGCAAGCAAAAGGAAGCAGAGAGAGGCCCCTGCACAAATGAACAAGTGTTACATGGGCTGGGAATCAAACCAAAAGGTTTGCTCCTTATGCATGAATTTATTATTTTGGTCACAGACCAGTTCCAGCTCACATATAAAATCAGGGACGTCATGAAACACAGTAGGGATACATTTAAATTAGCAGTTCAGTATAAGAGGGACAATACAGATATAGCATCAGTTAAAAAAATATAAATTAGATCTTAGTCACTAAAATATAACCTGAAGTTGTGCTTTAAAACCTTAATCATGATGATAGCACAGCTTGTTCCCTATGTTTTATTGCAATCACACAGAATTTGGCAACCTTCTACCAGAGATTTTAAACATGGGAGCTTGAACCCATTTGAAGATTTTTGCATAGCAGGGGTGCTAAATGCCCAGCCTATGTCCCCATAGAAATGACAGCGTAACAAGGCATGAGAGACAGTTTCTACCTCCATCAAGCAGCAGGGACAGACTCGTTCCGCATATGGTATACCCTCGAATCTGCCCTGCAATAAGGCAGATGGCAGCATGTTGAATCTAGTGAGGGTGAATGACCATCTCTATTTGGGTATTTGTAATTTAGACAAATATATTGCTGGGGTAAACCCTCTCCCATTGTCTTTTATTGCTGGGTGTTTATTCATCTGATACAACTTTTAAATGTGACAATAGGTTCACTACTGGTTGGTGTGCTGTCTCTCATGGCCAATGTGCCACAAATGTGCCTCAGCAGCCAGTACTGCTGTGGTGGAACAGCCATAATATACAATTCATCACAATACATGGTTCATTCAATGGGCCAGGTGAGATGAATCAGAATTGAATTTCTATTTAAAGCTTTTCTTTATGCTTCTCAGATATGGATGCATGTTCCTATTGCCCAGAAGATCAGTATCCAAACAAGAAGAGAAATGGATGCATCCCCAAAGTTATACATTTTTTGTCCTATAAAGAACCTTTAGGGATCACCTTAGCCTCACTTAGTGTTTTATGTTCCCTGATTACTGTTTTGGTGTTGGCTATTTTTATCCAGCACAATGATACCCCCATAGTCATAGCCAACAACCGAGAGCTTACCTACACTCTCCTGGTCTCCCTCCTGCTCTGCTTCCTCTCCTCTTTGCTTTTCCTCGGCAAACCTGGGAAAGTGACCTGTCTTCTCCAACAACCTGCTTTTGGCATCATCTTCTCTGTAGCTGTTTCTTGTGTGTTGGCCAAGACCATCATTGTTTCTCTAGCATTCATAGCCACAAAGCCAGGATCTATGATGAAGAAATGGGTGGGAAAGAGACTGGCCCATTCTATTGTCCTTTCAGCTTCCCTCATTCAGGTGGGTATCTGTACTCTGTGGCTGATAACATCTCCCCCCTTCCCTGATCTAGAAATGAAATCAGTAGCTGAAGAAACCATTGTGCAATGTAACATTGGGTCAGCCACCATGTTCTATTGTGTCTTAGGCTACCTGGGCCTTTTGGCCCTCACCAGCTTCATTGTGGCCTTCCTGGCCCGCAAGTTACCTGACAGTTTTAATGAAGCCCAGTTCATCACCTTCAGTATGTTAGCATTTTGCAGTGTTTGGATCTCTTTTGTTCCCACCTACCTGAGCACAAGAGGGAAACACATGGTGGCTGTGGAGATCTTCTCCATCTTGGCCTCCAGTGCTGGGTTACTGGGTTGTATCTTTTCCCCAAAATGCTACATCATGGTTCTGAGGCCTGAACTGAACAGCAGGGATCAATTAATACGAAGAAAGGATTAAGCCATCTGTCTTCACACATCATACCCTAGGGTCTGTTGGAGAAGGCAGTTGGGAGAAAATACATGCATACAACATTAGTTATAGACATTTGCTTTAAAGTTATGACTGCATTTCTCTACAAAGTATAAGCTGCATTTCAATTTGACATATTCCACATGCATATTTTTGATTTCCACTCAGGCCTTCATTGGACATTGGTAGCTGTGATGGGTTCTTTCATTTCTGTATCAGAATTTCTCATTTTATCAGTTGAAAATCTATTTCTGCTTTAATACGTCTGTTGTGGTTTCTTTCTATTTCTTCTCCCTGGGAGTGTTTTTCAACAAAAAGATGTTGTGGTTGGATGAAACTGTCAGTATCATTTCTCTCAGTTTCTTGTTCTTTTGTACTTTAGAATTTTAATCCAGTTTTAATTTCCAAAGCAATTTGCAACATACTAATATTTTTTTAAAAAAAATCATCATGATTTTTTCCTGTGTTTTAGGGGTCATTTATCCTGATAGAAACATTTCTGTATCCAATATTTCATATAATGTATTTTCATGTTATTCCTGTAAATATATGCATTTGTTGCATATTTTCCCCATGAAGTGTAACACAGAATGGGATAGGAAAACAAGAACCATTTAATTTGGGATTATTGAGTCTTTATGATTTTGGGCTGTGCCCCAGCTGCAGCCACCCCCTCACTCCGCTATGGTGCTGGGGACAGTAGGCTGATTTGTGGGCACCTTGTGAGGTTTGCAGGCACAATGTGCACAATGCTGGGGGGTGGGGACGCAACCCAGGTTTTCCCCCTTGTGTGGCAGGCATTCACCACCATTTTTGTTTGGATCACATGGTTGGCGCCATTTTGTTTTGAACATGTCGTCAGCGCCATTTAGTTTGTGTGAGCATGTTTGAGCCTCCCTACACATTAACTGGCGTTTGGGGGCCTGGTGGTTTGCACTGCTGTCTCTTGATCAGATTGGAAGGCAGTGGTGGACAGTGGCCCCTTCCTAATAACCTTCCAAAAAGGCTGTGTTGCGGCAACCCCCTGCCTCCTTCCTACGTTCAACTGGCTGGGCCTAGTGGGTTGTAGTATGGCGCTGCCTTGTAATAGATGCCAACCCCGTCAGGATTATTAAAGGGTACCCTTTCAGTGATGCATGATAATTGACAGGACAGGACCATTGGCCATCTAAGGCAGTGTTTAGAGCAAGCCTAGTCTGGCATGGAGGCGGGAGGCGCAGGGATAAGTTACCTTTCACCAGCCCTTCTGACAGATCCTCAAGCCCCGACATGCACAGAGTGTAATGCAATAAGAAAAGATCACAATAATCCAGGAGCCATGGATGCAAATACAGAAGGTACTCTTTGGACTTGTTGGAGTCCTCAGGTACACCTGATTCTTCTCTATCCCATGAGGACAGGATAAAAGGGTACTGGGTGACCACTCACAAATCTCCAGGGCTCCCTAAATGGGTCTGGTTGCGGAGAAATAAGCAACATTGCCGTGACAATGGGGCTACTGGGAGGGTTGGATGCCAAGGGTAAGGTCAGGGAATCTAACATCAGAAGATCTGCCTCATGTAGCCTTCAATCAAAAGTGGCCAATTGCCATACGAAGGATAAGAAATTGATGTGGAATGCAATTTCCACAACTGGATGATGGGGTGGTTTCTTCAGCATACCCTGACAGGGGGTAGCATTTATTTAATAATCAACACGTCATCCTTAAAGCAAAATTGATGGCTGGCGAGGCAGCTGCCCTAGATTATGACGAAGAATTTAGAGAGAGGGCTGCCAAGGATCCCACGGTTAAAGATATGTGGACAGAGTTGATTGCCCTCCATGTAGAGAAGAGAGGGGACCTGGCAAAACCTTCTAAGATGCATCTCAAGGTGCTGCGTAAGGTCTGCTGGGAGTATAACAATAGGTCATGTAACAGAGACAGGTGCTGCTAATCCCACAAATGCAAGCGCTCTGGGGGCTCCCACTCTTGCTCTAAGTGTTTTCAGGATAGGAAATCTTTTTGCAGCTTTCCAAATTCAGGATCCAGGCCCAGAAAGAAGTATGGCGGACCAGCAGCGGGTAACTCAGGCACTCAGTCAGTGAATGCCCTGTGCAGAAGTGACGCCCCCTTTCCCTAGCCCCCTCGCCTGTCACCCTTACAGCCATGCTGCCTCACCTATGACTATACCCAAAGAGGGAGGTGGCAAAATACCCGAAGAATGGGTTTCATGATGGCTTCCGGATCCCTGCTGTAGGTACACCAATCTCAAAGAACCCTCCCAACCAAAAGTCAGTAAGGGATATGCCGCTCATTACACAGAAAAAGACTGAGAAGGAATGGCTCCTCGGCTGCATTGCAGATCCTTTCCCTACACTACCCTTCAAAAAATTCATTGTGTCACCCCTTGGGATCATACACAAGGAGACTCCTGGGGAATTCCGCATGATCTACAACTTGTCTTACCTAAAAGGCAGCTCGTTAAATGACACCATTCCCCAGGAGAAGTGTCTGGTCAAGTCAACCTCACAGGATTATGTGGTAACATTATTTAGATTAGAGTGTGGTCCGAGTGCCCTGTTGGCAAAATGTGACATTGAGTTGGCATTCTGTGTTGGAATATTTCCGTTTCACCTTAAAAGGGAGCAGGCTTTGAGAGTCACAGAGTCTGCGCATGTCCTAGTCACAGGATGTTTATGTTTGCTGTTTCCTTTCGTTTTCAGTCGGTCAGAGGCACTGACACAGAACGGTCATGTTTTCTTTTGTTCTGTTCAACGCTAAATAAAGTCTGTAAAATATGCTCTTCTGCGGTGCAGCTTTCTGCCTGTGTTTCTGCTGATAAAGAACAGTGTGCACAAGCCTGGAATGTGGCAATCTGTTTCTGAGGCTTCGTGTCGCTAACTGCTGGATCTGCCTGGCAACGGGAGATCGATGGACGTCCGGCAGCCGGCTTGGGGCCATGATGGACAATATCTCCCTGGCAGTTTCCCAACAACAAGGTTTCAGGCCCAGATTCACAGCACCTACAGGAGAGTAAAGCTGCAACAGACTGCGTTTGAGAGGTACGTGGGAAAAGCGAAAGAAAGGGAGGCTTTTCTGTTTTACCTCGGACGGAGCCTTTGAACTCCGGAAGGCTTAATTGGCCTGGGAGCCAAGCCAGAGAGTTCGTGATTAATGGCTGCCAAGATAAGGAGTCTCTGAAGTTAAAAAAGACTCACGGCTAAAGCAAAAAGGCTGGAAATGGAGTTTTTCCAAGCTTCTGGAGATGCTCAGTGCCCTAAGTTACATGGGCAGAATTATGAAACCTGGTCACAATGGTGTGAGAGTTTGCTGCATCAGTTTAGGGTGTGGCACACCGTATCTGAGCCCCCCCCCCCAGTTCCTCTGACAGAGAGATGGAAAGCCGATGATTCGAAGGCGATAGACGTAATAGTCTTATTCGTATCTCTTGAGGAAATTAAGACGCTGGCTGGCAACACCACTGCACGTGGAATGTGGAATGCTTTGATGAAAGCTCATCTGCCAGTCATCCCAGCCCAGAGTTTGAGGTCCAAGCTGTTTCCCAGAATGCGAGTGAATGCAGGGATGCTGAGGGCACCGGTTGCAAGCTGCAGGGGGAGCTGACTGTCACGTCATCCCGGGCAGCATTCCAGCCTCCAGGGGGAGCCAAGGAGTCGGCAGCTGAGAGCTCTGTTTCTCGTGGGAGCCAAGGTCATCGTCTTTGCAGAGGCCGGAAAGGCAAAGGTAAACAGGCGTCTGCAGATGGCCAGAAGCAGAGGGAGGGTGAAGAGCCCGCGCCAGGGAAAAACAAAGCGATGTTTGCTGGCACAGCTTCACCAAAGGCTAAAGGCACGTCTGCTGACCAGAAGCAGGGGGCAAGCTGCAAAAGCCCACGCACGCCAGTGGAAGACAAGGCTATGTTTGCTGGCACAGCTTCACCAAAGTCTAAAGGCACGTCTGATGGCCAGGAGCAGTGGGGGGGGGGGCAAGCTGCAAAAGCCCACGCCAGTGGAAAACAAGGGTTTGCTTGCTGTAAAGACTGCTCCAACAGCCACAGGCAGATTTATTATCGATTCAGGTGCCAGCCGCCATATTTCAAAGGACCGCCATCTCTTTATCTCCTTCAAGCCTCAGGAAGGTGAGATCCACCTGGCTGATGGAAGGACGTTGCAAATTGCAGGAGAAGGGACTGTGAAACTTGCAAGTTTGCACACAACCATCAGCAGTGTACTTTATGTTCCAGGTGCTGCAAGCAATTTGCTGAGTGTCCCGCAGCTTACTGGGCGTGGTTTTCAGATTTCCTTCAAGAGGAGCGTCTGTGTCATCAGTAAAGGCAAAGAGGACTATTTGCATGCAAAGTTTATGGATGGTTTGTTCCATATAACTTATGAGGACACTGCTGTTGTATCTAATGCTGATTCTTGTTGTGTTGCACAAACTAACAAAGTTCTTCATGCAGGTTGCATTCACGATGTGCATCGAAGGTTTGGTCACCTCTCTTGGAAGGCACTGGCCAAGATGCCAGAGGTGGTTGAGGGTTTGAACATCAAACCCTGTAAATTTCACATGAAATGTGTATCTTGTGCAGAGAACAAGGTGAAGGTTGCTCCAAAAGGCAAGGAGTCTAGCAGGCAGGCTTCCAAACCCTACCAGCTAGTGCATGCGGACCTGGTTGGGCCACTTACGCCCTCTTTAGGAGGAGCAAGGTTCTTCATGGTTCTAATTGATTCTTTTTCTAGGTACATTCATGTGTTTTTTTCTCGAACAGAAATCGCAAGCGTTTCCGAAGTTTAAAGCATTCTGTGCTTGGTTGGAGAATGTGCACGGTAAACGTATTGCCTGTCTGTTTTCCGATCGAGGCGGGGAGTTCACTTCTCAGCAGTTTGAAGCTTTCCTGACTGAGAAGGGAATCCAGCATGACATGTCAACCCCCAGATCGCCATGGATGAATGGGCTTGCGGAGAGAGCAAATCAGACATTGCTGCAAGGAATCAAAACCTTGTTGCAT